AACACCTGGCTACTTTTTTGTTGTAGTTGTCATTGTTGTTTACTGGTCTGGGCCGTGTTTGAACCCGCCAGCCTCAGTGCATGTGGCTGGCGGTCATAACCACTGTGCTATGGGCACTGAGCCAGAGTTACTTTTTAATCATCCTTGCTGTATTTAACATATTATCTTCTCAATCCATTTTGGCTCCACACCCTGTATTAGGCCACTTTATTTTACAGGAGTCCTCCTACCAGGCTCAGATCCTGATAACTCCATGGATGTCCTTCTTCCTCTGCCTGGGCTGTGACATTCTGTGGTGGGCTGCTCCCACCAACCCCACCTACTTCTCATCCTTGTTGGGCTTTGACACCCTATGTTGTCTGACTTCCTACCTTGCTCAATCCTATGTAGTGGCTTTTGGACTAAATTGCTCAGGAAGAAAAAGAGGAAGAAGAAGAACTTATTTTATAATCCATAGGTCTCTGAACCTGAGGAATCCTGCCTGGACCTGATTGAGCTGATGAGATTCTGGACCTTAAGTTGTAATTAGAAGAGTCTTTGGGTTCGGCGCCAGCCACATACACCTAAGGTGGCGGGTTCGAATCCCCAGCCCGGGCCTGCCAAACAACAACGACGGCTGCAACCAAAAAATAGCCGGGCGTTGTGGCAGGCGCCTGTGGTCCCAGCTACTTGGGAGGCGGAGGCAGGAGACTCGCTTGAGCCCAGGAGTTGGAGGTTGCTGTGAGCTGTGAGGCCATGGCACTCTACCCAGGGGGATAGCTTGAGGCTCTGTCTCAAAAAAAAAAGAAGAGTCTTTGGGGAGACCTTGGGAAGAAATTAGTGTATTTTACCTGTGAGAAGAATCTAAATAATCTGTAGCCACAGTGGATTAAAGATGCCTGCCAATTCTCTGCCTCTCCTACTATCAAGAGAGGCAGTCTATTTTTATTCCTCTTGAATCTGGATTGCCCTTGATTTGTTTTAACTAAAAGAATCCCCAGAGAAGTGATGCTTAAGGGTGGGCATTAAGGATCTGTATTACCTTATTGTGATTTTGAAATGTTCCTTTCTGGAAAGCTTCCTCTGGTTTATGAGGAAACCAAAATAGCCACATGGAGAGGCCTTTGTGGCAAGGTCTGCGTGACCCATAGCTCATTCTGCGCTTCCTGCCCCCCTGACCAGCACCAACCGCCAGCCATGAGAGTGAGGCTGTTATGGAGCTTCCAACTGTGCTGGTGCCCTAGCTGACAGCAGGTGAGGCAGAACTGCCCAGGCAACTGCAAGGCTGTGAGAAATTGTTAACTGTCAAACCTTGGTAAGATGCTAAGTTTCAGGTGGGGTGTTATGCTGTGATAGATAACTGAAATAACGGCCTACTATGTGCCAGGCAATGTTCTATGCCCTTCTTCCTGATCTATGAGGGTGAGAATAGAAATGTAAACTGTTAGTTTACATTTCAGAAGAGGGCACTGTGGGAAGGCAGAGAAAAGGCCACTAACCTGTGAAAGGCAAGCTGCAGGGAGAAGAGAGGTGGTGATTCTGGGCAGGTGAGCACTGGATGGGCCAACTGCCAAACCTACATGCCAGCTTTTGGCCAGTCTGCACTTCAACTTCCTCTTCCAGGTATCTCACCTGACAAGACCAAGTTTTCACCTGACAAAGTTGAGCATGGAAAGAGTAAGGGCCATAGGGAAGAAGGTTGCCTGGGTCTGTCTATCCATTCTCTAATACAGTGGTTCTCAACCTTCCTAATGTCGCTGCCCTTTAACACAGTTCCTGTGGATTGTGGCCCACAGGTTGAGAACTGCTGCTTAACATCAGTGCAGCTAAACAATGCTGCCCTGAGGGTTTCTAGACATTCTGGGCCGTGTTGAAGCAAGACCTTTAGCAATTCTAGGCACCTCTGGCTCAGGAGCTGGTGAGACTGTTGCTCAGGCCTCAGTGGACTCTGCATGATCCTGAAGGAGATAGGCAATTAGCAAGTGTTGGGTTTTGGTTTGTTTTCATTGATTTCTAGGCCCAGAGGGTCCTGGGACAGGTCTGTAACCCCCATCTTCCCCTTAATCCTGTCTCCTGGACACATGTTTCTATGTAAGACATATCTGCATTTCCTCTCCCATTTTCAGATGGACTAATCTGACCCATCCTCACTCATTGGCTGGGCAGAATTTTCACCCTAGACCTGGACTGTTGGGGTCAGCTTCACCATTACCAACACCTTGGAGAACAACTCTTTACTTTGTGTTCTAAAATAACTTAGAAATAATTTCTTCCCTCTCCCCTGCCCATACATCAAGATTGTCATAAGTATTCAATTACAAAGTATTTTAATAAATATGTATTCAGTGCCAACCATCAAACATTTTTTGCCTTTATGAAGTTGAGGGAGACAATAAATGTATTATGTAGGGTGGTTTGATACCCACTCTGAAAAAATTAAGCAGGTGAAGCAGATTTGAGTAGGAGATTATCCTCCATAAAGGAGTCTGAGAAAATCTCTCTCTTATGGTGACATTTGGAGGATCTTAATGAAATATTGGGGAAGAATGTTTCAGGCTAAGTGACCAGCAAGTAAAAAGACCCTGAGGTGGGAAGAAATACAGCAAATTCAAGGAATTAGCAATTAGGCTAGTATGGCTAAAGCAGGTTCAGCATGGTAGACTGTCATAAATGGTGATAGACAGAGGTAGGAACCATAGTGGAAGGGCTTCTGTGGACCACTTAGTAGGCTGCCATATAACACAGGCTCAGCTGATAGTGGCTTGGTGACTTTTGATCTTTTGAAGGGAGCACTGACAAGACTTGCTGAGGGATTGGAGACAGCATTTAAGAGTAAGAGAGGTACATCAAGGATACCTTTTAGGTTTGGGGGAACTTGATGAATAGTGGTACCATGCTCTGAGGGAGGTAATTTTGGGAGTGGAGTGTAAGGAGTGGCTTGTTGTGGGCAGGATGTGCTGATTTTTTAATTTTTTTTTAAGACAGAGTCTCACTCTGTCACCCTGGGTAGAGTGCTGTGATATCACAGCTCACAGCAACCTCAAATTCCTGGGCTCCAGTGATCCTCTTGCCTCAGCCTCCCAAGTAGCTGGGACTGCAGGTGCCCACCAGAATGCCTGGCTGGTAGGATGTGCTGACTTTAAGATCCCTATAAAATAGGCAGTTGAGTAAGAGTTTGGAGGTTAGGGAGGAGATCTGGGCTGAAGACAGAAATTTTGGAGTTACCATGATACAGGGAGAGTGTGGAGACAGAAAAGTACATCATGGGCTATGCCTGGGGCCTTCAGCAACTGGGGAAGAGAAGCCCAAAAAGGAGACAAAGAAATGGCCAGTGAAGTGGGGAAGATCAGGAGGACCTGGTGTTCATAAAAGAAAGTAGATTTTGTTTGATCATAACCAAGTGTCCACTCCTGAGCCTTAATTTTGGAGTGTCCACTCCGCAGCCTTAATGGAGGCTGTAACGATGCCTACCCTTCATGGCATATAGTAAACTCTCAAAATAGGTAGCTATTTTTGGCTATTGTCATTCCTCACCTCAGAGTTGGCTGCCAGAGCCCTCAGCTGCCCTGTCCACATAAGTGACAACACCTCCATGAATCTTTTTCTGAGGAGCACCTGTGAAAGCACCTGAGGAGCACCTGTGAAAGGCAAGCTGCAGGGAGAAGAGAGGTGGTGATTCTGGGCAGGTGAGCACTAGATGGGCCAACTGCCAAACCTACATGCCAGCTTTCGGCCAGTCTGCACTTCAACTTCCTCTTCCAGGTATCTCACCTGACAAGACCAAGTTTTCACCTGACTTGTGAGTGCTCCTCACTGGAGCACTCATTCAGGTGCGTCTGAGGCCCCTGGATCACATCTAGGACAAGTGGCTTCAGTGCCTAAGTCTCTCACCCACATAATCTTCTGCCCTTATTGCAAATCAACCTGGGTTAAGTGAGTGGAAAATAAGAACTTCGGAGGCAGGATTCTGCCTCTCACTAACTGTGGGATTTTAGGCAAGTTTCTTAACCCCTGCTGGGCTTCCATTTTATCTATCTCCATCTATAAAATGGGGACAATTCCTACTTCACGGGATTGTGTTTAGCCCAACGCAGATTGTAAAACCGGCCGTTCTTTTTACACGCTGTTGTGGGAGTTGCTGAGGCTTTTTGCCGCCCTCTCCCTATAAAGCATCTACCTTCACTGGGTGGGCTGCGCCAGAAGAGGCACCTCCCCCACACCCAGAACCAAGCTGGCGGTCTCTGAGATGCCCTAGCCCAAGCTACACAACGGTAAGGTGAGAAAAAGGCTACCTGCCCACTTTGTTAGCCGCATGGTGCCCAAAGAGCAGAGACTTCTTGCAGGTCCCCACAGTGGCAGCAGGACCCAGCTGGGCTAAAGGAGGGGGTTTAGAACACCCCAGAGAATCCCGCCGTCACCTTACCACCCCTAGCTAGGCGTGGAAGCCGGTTTCCTGGCAACCGTTTTCTGCTCCCCTTTCTCACCAAGGCCCACCGGCTAGGACGCCGTCGCGCCTCCCAACCTGTCCAGACAACCACTCGATTGCCTTGCGCCCTCTTTGCTGCCGCGGTGCAGGCCCAGGTCCGGCTTCCCAGTCCCTGTGCACCCTAGGAAGTGGCGCGGCCTCTCGACTGCAGCGTGGAGGAGGAGGAGGAGGAGGAAGAGGAGGCGCGGCTCGCCTGCCATCTAAGCTTCGCTGCGAAGGCTAGAGAGGAAGAGGGCGGTGCACAGCGGGGCGCCCGAGCCGGAGTCAGACCCCGGGACTGCACTGCGGGCCAGCCCCGAGCTTCGGGCCGCGCCCCCCTCGGAGCGGCTCCGCCCCGTTGCCCACCCTCCCGGCGCCCCGCCTCTCGCCCGGAGCTGTCCCGCCACGGACAGACCCGCCCCTCAGCCCCGCGCCCCAGTAGCCCCGCCCTTCTCTTGTCCAGAAAACCCCGCTCCCGGCCCCGCCTCCGCCCCCGCCGGCGGCCCCGCCCGCGCCTCGGGCGCCCTGCTGGAAGCGCCCTGGTCAAGCTGGCCGGAGTTTCCGCGCTCTGCCTTTCGCCCGCCCGCGCCGCGCTCCCTTGCTTCCCACCCCGTGCCCTGCCCCCATCGCCGTGGTTTGGCACTGCCTGGCAGGCGGCCCGCGGGCGGGTCGCCCTCCCCTCCTGCAGCCCACACCCCTCTTAAAGCGGCGGCGGGAAGATGAGGTTCCGGGAGCCGCTCCTGGGCGGCAGCGCCGCGATGCCGGGCGCGTCCTTGCAGCGGGCCTGCCGCCTGCTCGTGGCCGTCTGCGCACTGCACCTCGGAGTCACTCTGGTCTATTACCTGGCCGGCCGCGACCTGAGCCGCCTGCCTCAGCTGGTCGGAGTCTCTACATCGCTGCAGGGCGGCTCGCACGGCACCGCCGCCATCGGGCAGCCCTCCGGGGACATTCGATCCAGAGGGGTCCGGCCGCCGCCTCCTTTAGGCGCCTCCCCGGAGCCGCGCCCGGGTCGTGACTCCAGCCCTCATGCGGATTCTGGCCGTGGCCTCGCGAGCAACTTGACTTCGGTTCCAGTGTCCCGAACCACAAAGCTGCCTCTGCCCGCTTGCCCCGAGGAGTCCCCGCTGCTCGGTAAGGATTCGAGTCAGCACCAGTCCAGTCCGAGGATTGGGACTCCCCGATTTCCCCGAAAGGGTCTCCGGGACATACCCCAATGTCCTCTTTCATGACAGTCATCCTCTTTTTTCCGGGTCAGAGTCTTTTTTTTTTTTTTGGGGACAGTCTCACTTTGTCGCAGAGTGCCGAGGCGTCATAGCTCATAGCAACCTCAAACTCTTGGGCTCGAGAGATTCTCTTGCCTCATTCTCTTGAGTAGCTGGGACTACAGGCGCCTGCCACAACGCCCGGCTATTTTTAGAGACGGGGTCTAGCTCTGGCTCAGGATGGTTTCCAATCTGTGAGCTCAGGCAGTCCACCCGCCTCGGCCTCCCAAGTGCTGGCATTACAGGCATGAGCCACCGCACTTGGTCAAAGGGTCAGAATCTTTAATCCCAGACAGGCTTTGGGCTGAATGGGCGAGAGGGTTTGGGAGGTGGGACTCTTGGGAGTCGTGTTGGAGGCTTGGGGCTGGGACCCTACAGGGAAGCTCACAGGACCCCCTGGACCCCAAACAAGAGAAGACCTTGGAAACTTCCCTGCTCTGGCTCAAGGCTCAGGAAGTTTTGGAGTTTGGGTCTGCTTAAGGGCTTGGAGCATCTTCTCCTGCTAACTCTGGTAGGGACCTCAAGTAAACCCACTCCTATTCTGGGGACTGATAGTGAGGCTGTCTGTGAGAAAGGAGGTTGACTCTTCAGGTCACATGTCTTACCATAGAGCCTCTCTCCTGAGAGTGGATTAACTCTTCTCCTGAGCCTTCGGGAAAGTGACTTTTCTCTAAATCTGGGGTTTCTCTTATGGTAAATGAGGATAATAAATGGTACCTGTTTGGGAAGATAAAATAAAGCAGTGTAAATAGGATTAATTAATGAGGGTAAGCTCTCAGTAAATTGTCACTATTGTTTTCATTTCCTGTTCTTAGTGGATCCCCTGGCTTGGGGCCTGTACCCCCAGCCTCCTACACCAGCCTCTTCCTCTGTAGATTCCCCAAACCTCAGTAAGACAGACTCTCCCAGGGACAGAGTTCATATGTACCCTGGGGATTGGAGGGCTAAAATGTAACCAGTCAACATGGAGTTGTCTGCTTCTGGTACTTCTTGTAGCAGCCGAAGTCTCAGTTATCTTATCCAGATGATCTAAACCCTCGCCTCTACCCAGGGTTTAGTGGTAGGCTGCTTCAGTGAAGTCTGCGAGCTTGGGTAGGTGGGTTTTCATTCTTTGCTACAGGAAGCTGAGCCTAACTTAGATCACTCCATGATCTATAGCCCACAGGCCTAAGGCAGCCACAGGTTGCTTCCAGGGTTACCAGACAGGTGGCTGCTCATTTTAATGCTAGACTTTAGAGAATTGTTCTGAGTAAGGGGGCCCTAGTAGACTGGCAGGCATCCTGCCAATAGGAGCTCTGTCACTTTCCTGTAGAGCCCTGGTGGAGAAGGCCTTGCTCAGTTTCTGCAATAATTGGTTCAATATTTTCACATCAAGTTTGAGAGGGATATCTTGGAATTGGTCAGACATAAACTGTGGTAACAAGGGGGACTATTTTTTTTAAGCAAAAAATTGAATTATTTTGTATTTATTTGATAGTGAACCTGGGAAGCAGACTAGTCCAAGATAATGAAGTCCCTGCTGCTAAATGTCTGACTTAAGGCAGGTTATAGAGTTTCTTAGAGTCTCATGTGTAAAATGAGGGTCGTTGATGTTACCCTTATAAGTTACTTTTAGCACTAAATCAGATTGTGTACATTAAGTGTGTGGTACATAGTAGGTACTTAGTACATGGTGGCTAATTATAATATAGTAATATATTTGCTTAGGACCTTGGAGTTCCATTTTCTCAGACTCCCATGGAGCTGGCTCCAAACAGCAGAGAGAAGGTGGGAAGACAGAGCATGAGTCCCCAGGCCTGAGAGAGGCCAGGATTTTTGCTTTTGTTTTTGTTGCCTGGACATTGTACAGAAAGCAATAAAAATTAATTAGCAAGTTAAGGAAAAGTACCCCAAAGTTTATTAGATTGGTATTTGAGCCATGGGTCTTGCTAAAGCTTAAGTCATGGTGGTGACCATAACTCTGCTATGTTTTGAAATGGTGTTGCTAGTATCAGCTTGTTACCAGTTGCTGGTGTTTCTAAATGGATTCTGAATTAGCTGCTTGAAAGGACTTCCTGAGATAAGGTTTTAGAGGGCTTTCTCTAGCCTGACTGACTTCACATGACACATTTGAGACCATGACATTTAGGCTGCTTCTGAGACAATCCCAGAAATGAGGGTGGAGGTCTTTTCTTCCTTTTAATTAATCCCTTAGTTTGAATGTTTGGGTGTAGCTCTCCGAGTGGAGGTTCCTGCCTTGAGAAAGCTGCAAGTCTCCCTGGGAGTGTGTGGGTGGGGGTGAGTTGAGCCCATCTGTTCACAGGCAGGTGTCTCACAAAGCCTCTGTGAGTGGTTTTGAGGTTGGTGGGAGAAAGCGTCAGTGAGTTTAGAGTTGTGGCCTGTTCACTACTTGCAGTTTCCTTCCTTGACTTGGCTTTACTTTGTGATGTCCAGTGGTCTGGGCCAGATGCTGCCATCCCTTTCAGCTGACAGGTGGTGGGTTATGGGCAAGCCTTTCCCTGGAGGAGGTAAAGCACCAGACTGGACTGCTGATGGACCACTATTTGATCTGTCAGAGGCTCGGAATAGACTTCAAATAGACTTGGATTAGAGTCCTGCCTCTGTCTATGCTATCCATGTGATCTGGAGCAGACTAGTATTTGGAGCCACAGTAGGCCCTGTTCAGCACTCCCCGCCCTGCCATGGGCTAGTTCATGGTCTCTAGGATTGAGTGCTGTGGGAGGAGGTGGGCCTTTCCTGAAGATTTCTACAACTTTCCCCAGGGAGTTCTCCCAAGTAGTTTAGGCTTATAGATACTATCCTCTTTCCCTAACTTTGTCTCAGGTCCTCAGGGGACATAGGAGGAACAGCTGCCTTATGTTTCTTTTCCTAGAATGTCTCTGCTCAGACTTGGTAGCAGCTCAAGGGGACTTGACCAGCTGTGGCATTGCCAGTCAGGAGATGGGAGAGGTGGGCAGTACATCAGGCTGAACTAGTTAGGGGAGCCAGGGCTGGTTGGCGTGGGGCCAGAAAAGTGAGTACTGGACTGCTTAAGCCTTAGAGGCCCCTCTTGCCCAGCAATGTTTTGAGGAGAACCTCGTTATTTGTTCAGAGGGAAGACTCTAATCTAGAAATTGGGGACCTGGGCCAGCAAACAGTGGCTACAAGTAGCCAGGGCACCTGGGGAACACTTGTCCCTGAGCCAATTTCCTTGGTTTTTATGGGCGCTGTCAGCGAACCTTGGCCAGAGTTTATGCTGGAACTCTTGTAGACCTCGGCTGGGTTCTCTACCAGCATGATGCCCCCTCCCTCATATGCATTTGTACAACAGTAGGCTGCCCTGGACAGAGTGTACTGAGAGGCTTGGGAAAAGGCACTCTCTTGCCTCTTTGGAGATTAGTCTTGGAGCCTCATCACCTTCTGGCTTAGGCTGGAGCTTCATCATGGGGGTTGGGGGAGGCACGGGCAGCCTCATCTGTGTCCAGATCTTTTTTTTTGAGACAGACTATCACCCTGGGTAGAGTGCTGTGGCATCACAGCTCACAGAAACCTCCAATTCCTGGGCTCAAGCGATTCTCCTGCCTCAGCCTCCCAAGTAGCTGAGACTATAGGCGCCTGCCACAACGCCCTGTTATTTTTTGGTTGCAGCTGTCATTGTTGTTTGGTGGCCTGGGCTGGATTCAGACCTGCCAGCTCAGGTGTATGTGGCTGGTGCCTTAACTGCTTGAGCCACAGGCACTGAACCCTATGTCCAGATCTTGAAACTTTAGACTTAGGTAACTATTTTTTAATTTTTGAGACAGAGTTCCATTTTGTTGCCCTTGGTGGAGTACTGTGGTGTCATAGCTCATAGCAACCTCAAACTCTTGAGCTCAAGTGATCCTCTTGCCTCAGCCTCCCAAGTAGCTGAGACTACAGGCGCCCACCACAACACCCAATTATTTTTTCTTTTTTTTAGAGATGGGGGTCTCGCTTTTGATCAGGCTAATCTCGAGCTCATGAGCTCACGAACTCATGAGCTCAAACGATCTTCCTGCCTCAGCCTCACAGAGTGCTAGGTTTACAGGTGTGAGCCACTGCACCCAGCTGGTAACTAGTTTTTTAAACCAGTTTTGTCCTGTTTTGTTTTTTTTTTTCCCCTGGGGATAATAATTTATTTATAGACTCTCCTTATCTAACAATCTGATATTGAGAAATATCTTACACGACTGTGGGACTCACTTTCTTCCACACAGCCTGATGGCAGTAGAAGTGATCTCTCTGCCTGCTATAGTTCATCCCAGACTTTGAGCAAGTGCAGAATCCACCTCCTCCTGCAGTAGGGCCTCTGATGAACCTGGTGGAAGCTCCCTGGAACATGAGGAGCAAGAGCCAAATATAGGATTGGACTCAAAACTGTGGCTTTTGCCTGGGCATGGTGGCTCACAGCCATAATCCCAGCACTCTGGGAGGCTGAGGTGGGTGGATTGTTTGAGCTCAGGAGTTTGGGAACAGCCTAAGCAAGAGCAAGACTCCATCTCTACTAAAAATAGAAAAAAAATTAGCTGGGCATTGTGGCAGGCACCTGTAGTCCCAACTGTTCAGCGGCTGAAGCAGGAGGATCACTCAAGCTGAGGAATTTAAGGTTGTAGTGAGCTAGGTTGACACCACTGCACTCTAACCTGGGCAACAGAGTGAAACTCCATCTCAAAAACAAACAAACCTGCAGCTTCATAGAACCACAGCATTATAGGATAGGACCATCCACGCTTTTTCCCTGAAGTTATAACCCAGTACAGAGGTTTAGGAGTGATCTGATACGGCCTAGAGTTTTAGAAGAAGATTCTTGCGAGGTACATTTGTGGGTCCATCTGAAAAGTCTTGTATGGATGTCCTTGATGGCTAAGGCAT